GACACATATAAATTGATCAACAAAGGAGTTCCAATTTTTCTAGATTCGATTTCCAAATTTGGTAATAATCCTGACTGTACTATGATGCTTATCCCGGAATTTTACTATGTAGATCCTTTCCTTCATTGATGGATCACGAATTAACCATTATAGATGTCCTGCACTATACCAATAGAAACAGAGAATTTTTGAATTCCAACACTACAAATTTTTCGTGTTTCTGTTGAAAAAGTACATCCAATGGCATATGTAACCTTATTGTACAATTCTAAATGATTAATGTAATATTGTTTATTGAATATTTGATTAATTGCTTCTTTTATTAAGGTGTTGATTTCTTCTTTCTTCTTATCTTCCTTTTTTGTTTTTGATGGATTATAATGTTTGAACTCAATGAAGTAAATAGTTTTATCTGTTTCTACCCACATATCACTTCAACCTATACTTGTAGCATCCTCACTATGAAATGGTTGGCCAATATAACACACCAACACATGCACATGTGAATGATAATAACCTTCATAGTTTGGTAGTATTGTATGGGATGGTGCCCAAATCCTTATTAAATTCTATCAGAAATTCTTTGAATTTGTCTTGTTTAAGAAGATCTGTCAGTGTTTTAATTTGATTAAATGCTGTTTCTAATGAAGTGTCATCAAAGTTAGCCCAAAGTTCACCCATCAAAGACTCACATACTTCTGTGTTTGGAATTTCAAGAACTAAATTTGTTCCTTCTTGTTGTTTGATAGTCAAATAACCAGTTTGAAAAAACAACAATACAGGGAATGTGGATGATTTCTGTATATCTGCAATACTAACAGGTACAATTGAATTTTCATTGATTTTAATTTCATCTGCAATATCTTTAACATGCTCAATACTGATCAACTTGGCTAAGAGGCTGGTTTTTCCCTTTTGAATCCAGTAGTTCAAAAACTTTGAACAATTAAAAAACATACATATACTATATGGATTATACACCTTGATATTGGCATCCCAAGAGTAGCCATTGTATTTTTCCTAAAAGTTGGACAACACTTCTTGTTTATTACTACCAAATTTATCTAATAAGTTTCCAAATGTTTGCTTTATCTCATCATTTGTAAAACCATATGCTCCAGATAATACAGGAGATATTGTCAAATCATTAAGAATGTTTGCTCCTGAAAATAAACTGACATGTGAAAACATTGTGACACCAGTAATCAACAAAAATTTGATGTGTGCTTGTGATGCTTTTATTACTTCAAAAAAATCTTTCAATATCTCATGGTTTTTTATCTGCAATTTCCAAACTTTCTTTGGTGTTATCAAGAACACTTAACAATGGTGAATCATATTCATCAATTAGGATTACCACTTTCTTCCATTTATTTTCTTAATGTTGAATCAGAATTATGATTAATTGATCAATAGCAGCTTTGACACTAGTATCATTTGTGATGCAGACATTATAAAATAAGGTTGCTTGCCGAAACTCCTCCAGAAATCAATCAGCAGGGTTTCAGCAGGTTACACATTAATTGTTTATTAGAGTTTTGGCAGAGTTTTGCATTTTGAGGTTTCGCCATTTCGGCATAGTTTCAACAGGATTTTTGATAAGATTTAATATAGTTTTACCACGGTTTCAGCAATTATTAAGAAGGTTTCGCCCACAACCTTAGTTGGCACACATTTCATTGATAGTTCATTTTGTCAACAAACACTTCACTGACAGTTAATTTACATGTAATGATAGTGATGTTGTCACTGACTATTTTGGTGATTATAATATTGATGATTATTATTGTTTTTAATAGTGTGGATTTCAATAGGTTGTATTAGAAATGAAAGTTTAAAGTTTCTGTGATCTATTTAGACCTGTCAACTTGGCAACTTTTTATTTTTTTACTTTTTATAGATTATTTTTATTATTATTATTATTCATAAATGGTCAAAATTTATTAGAAGCAAATGTTTAAGGCCTCTCTCATCATTATCTTTTCTAACTTATTTATTATCATATAAGATTTTACATTTGAGACAACACCCTTTTATAAAATTCCAAGCATTTATAATGATAAGCATGACACATATTAACATTATACCTTCTTGTTCATCCTCTTTGATCACAACAATCATAGTTATTATTAGATGGTGGTTTAGAACTAACCAGCAGTAAGCATTTAATTTCAATCAATGATGTGATCTATATTTGATGATCTACAAGAATTGTCACAAATTTAGCCAATGAAATCAAATGTCCATGACTAATATTTTTTTGTTTTTAATCAATTTACCACAGAACAGGATTCTTTGAAACATAACATTAAAAAATAAGGCTAATCTTCTTCATAACTCTTTAAACATTCTAAACTCTTTGAAGTTTTCAGCCACATACATCCTTACTGGTTTGGAGGCTACATAATTCCTATATTTCAGGGAGCTATGAAATTGAACACTTCCTGTTGTGTCCCTTGGCAAGTTTTCCATTGATTCACTTTTCCCCTTTTTAGATCCAAATATCTAAGTTTTTATGAATTATTTTTAGGGGGAAGTTACAGTAATCTCAACTATTCAAAGAAGAAGTCAAGATAGAGACATATTAAAATACCAGCTTGAATGTGGCTATTTAGCAGATTTATTGTATAAAGTCAATCAACAAGAAGTTGTTTGTGGGCTTGGCTGTGGTGGTCCTTATAAATATGATATTATGAAGTGGAACTCTGATCAATATCAACTTCCAAGGATGCTCAAAGACATGTTAGATGATATGTTTAAAAAATTTCGAAATAGAAATAGACACATGTCAAATCTTTATACCAGGGTTGGAAAATTGACTAGTCTATTGAGAGCATATGGCTTTTGGATTGGTTCATTGCCATTAATAAAATACTTAAATATGGTTAAAGTGTTACACCAATGGACCACCAATAGACCATCAATGGACCACACATTTGCCAACCCTGCTTTATACTATTGGAATTCAGATAATATTGATCTTAACAACCTTGCATTGAATATTGAATTTTGTTTTGGATCAGCAATATATGACAGAAATCCGAATATATCAACTTCATCTTTTAAAATCATTCAATCTGCCCTGTCTTATTCCATTTTACAGCAATTTACGTCTTGCTTTTTCATGGGCATGGTTAGAGATGGGCAGATCAGTACTATATATTTAAAAAGTTTAGTGTACTATATTCATAAAATAAAATAATAATAAAAGAACAAAGAAATTCGAATTTTTTTTAAAATTTTTTTTAGATGGGGCAGGTAGATTTCCTTTTTTTTCCGGTAAAAAAAGTAACATTTTTGGGGTACGAAGTTTTATGAAAACAAAAATATGGGGTTCATATTTCAATAGGATTTTTTTATTACGCAAGATTAATATTAAAATCAATTCTGTTTATTCACAAAAGCTTTTTTACTGAACTTTATTACTTCCAGAATTTGATTGTAATGCTATTCTTGCACTTTCTTTTCTGAATGCTGCGGAATATCTACTTATCCAATTGTTAATTGTTTCAGTTTTTGGAATCTCATCTCTATCTAAGTTACCTTCTTCTGCCATTACAACCAAATTTGCATGCATTGATCCAGCATCATAATGATCACTTTTATTTAAAGTACCAGCCAAAAAAAAACCTTCAAGAAGTTGTATAACTTGTAGTGACATTCGTTTACCAGAGCCTCTGTCTCCAAATTTTTGATTAGCTTTAAGTGTCCAACCCTTAGAGAGAGGAAAGTGATCAGCTAAATCAACAAAAAATATATTTTATTAAAATATTAATCAAAATTTAAAAATAATGCAATTTTTCAATAGTACATTTACCTGCAAATTCTTGATTTGTAACAATCACATCCTTTTTTTTATTATCTGAAAAATATAATAATATTAATTAGTTGAATTAATAATTTCACCTGCATCAATTAAAGCAAATTGATTTTTCATTTTATATTATATCGTTTATTTTTTTGGCAAATAAAAAAAGATCGACGGGCAACTCGATTTCCTTGTATGACAATATTTTTTATATGTAAATTAGCCCCTATAAAATTCTCTAATTGTTATCCGATCTGGCACTTAACTTTATTTAGAAATTAGCGTCGCGGTTAGAATGTTACGTCGCAATTAAAGTGCGATATCACGGCTAGAATGTTAGATTGCAATAAAGTTGTTATTAATTAGTTTAATTGTATAAAAGTCAACTTGCTTGTAAAATAACTTTGTCTAAAAGTTTAGTAGCCAATTCATTCTGATCCACACAAACATAAATTTTATTGTTATCATCAATTAACACATTCTCCCAAACAATAATTGGTGACAATAATGATAATTCTGAAAATTTTATTATTATCATATAAATATTTAGTAACGAATGGATATTAAATAAAAACATAGTTCACTTAGTTGAGTTGACAAAAACATTTTTATATAAATTATATTACACACATGCATAAAATTTCTTTATAATGAAAATACTGTATTAACTTAAGTACAAAACGAGGTAATAAGTCAGATAAATTCGTAAAATAACTTAATTGATGAGTATGAAATATAAAGCTTACAATTAATCAATGAGTGTAGCTCAAAAGTTAATTCAAATTTATCTGAGGTAAATATATATAAATGCTTGAATATAAAAATAATAATAATAATAATTACAATAATAATATGCATGGTAATAGGTCACTTCAATTACAAAGAAGGATTTAGACAAAATATAAAGTATCTAATATTTTTTAAAAAAATGATAATAATAAGAATAATAAGAGGTGTTTGTACAATTCCTTATAATAATAAAAAGCCTAATGTAAATATTTCAAAAATCAGATGAATAAAATCCATTCATAAATCTAAATATCTAAATCCATTTGATTAGAATCTATAAATATAATAATTTATCACATAATAAAAATAATATTAATGTTAAAATTGATATTTAATTTTAAAACTAATAAATAAATAATGATAATTACCATTCAAATTCATTTGATTAAAACCTATAAATATGATTAATTTAATTAATATTGATATTGATATGGAATTTAAATCAATAATCAAATAATTACCATCATTAATACTATTTAAATCAATTTGATTAGATTCTATAAAATGATTATTTAAAAATAATATTAATGCTGATATTGAATTTTAAGATAAATATCAAATATTGATAATTACCATCATTGTTGCTAATAATTGTAACTTTATTGGAGTTTACAGGTTGAGGAAGATTTGCAAAATTCAATAATCTACTTGTATAAACAGCATTTGGATGAACAGTTGCTGTAATTGTTGAAGGATTAAAGGGTTTTT